TATCCTTAAATCTTCTAATTTTGACATTGAACCGATAAGAGATGGATCGTAATATCTCCAAGAATGACCTGATATTTCTAGAGAACGAAGTTGAGGGAGAAGAACGATTGTTTGAAGTAATTCAGGATTAAGAGATTTATCTCTCTATAACAAGTCAACAAATAATAAAGAATTTCCTTCTCTTGTTCACTCAAAGTTTCTATCGAACTCAGGTACTCGTCGAAGATGATTCCGACGAGAAGCGTCAGGGGTGTGAGAGCGGAGAAAGAGAGATGTTAGATGATTATGATTATGAGTTGAGATGAGTGAAGAAAAGATGGTATAGACAACTCACAGTCCATGTTAAATACTCCAGATTGATCATTCGACTCAAAGCCATTCGGACTTTTTCATCCAGATCATGACGTTGTTCGTTCCTCAAACCCAAAGGGAAAAACCGTACGTCAAGCTTTTTGACCAATGTACATAATTCTGGGTTATGGTGGAAGGTTTCGAAAAGTTTTACAAGTTTAGTATGAGGATCAGCTTCCCCTATAAGTCAGCTTGATTGACTTTGTCTCCTTTTTCTTCCCACTTCGTCTCTCCATTACCACCACGATTCTCATAAATCTTACAGTTCTTGTCCCTGATCTTTTGTCCCCTCTATTGGTTGTCTACCTCTTGCATGAGACCCACCGATAAAGATCACTTCCTCGTCACTCATTCTTCTTCATGAATCTCCGGTGTCTCTTTAGGACAGACATTCCATAAGGTCAGCGTGAGTTAATGAGGGTTGAAACGAGGAGGATTCGAAAATACGAATTTCCCACGAAGGGAACCAAGCTCACACGGTCTCACCCAAACATGTTCATACAAACTCTTCCTCGCCAGCTCCCCCACAGTCCTATTGATCCTTGCAAGTACCGTCCATTCCCTCGGATGCTCAAACCCGTCCAGAATACAAGGTATCAACTCGGTATAATCGAACAATCCACCTAAGGGCGAAACACCTTGTTGAGGTCGAGGCAGAGGATACACCTTGTGTTTTCTGACAGGACTTGGTGGTCGTGGAGTAGTAGGGACTTGTGAATGTTGACGCCATTGAGAAGCACGAAGAAACATTTTATCAAGTCTCAATGGTTGGTGCGGGATGTCGAGACGGAGATGACGGAGGGATTCGTCGAGAGTGTGAAGGTCGTCTTGAGGTTGAGTTTCCATGGTGGTTTATCCGCGTTGTACTTTCCAGTTTGCTACGATGGAGAACCTAAGTAAGTGCCCAAGAAGAAGCTTGTACTTCAGTGAGAACCGTATGATAGCGTCAAATAAGATGCAAGGGTACGGGGCTTAGTTGAGTAGAGTATGGGATGTATGGAGTGGGAAAGTGGAGGTCTATTTCAGAAGGCACGAAAGGAAGTCTCAAGCCAAATTTCTTCACTTTCTCTCTGTTCCACCCTTTTCTTCTTCACGTCAACATGCTAGGTTTACCTCTCTTAAGCAGGTCAAAAGCTCTCTCATCTACTTTTATAGGTTCTGCACTACGTTCAGAGTTATTCCCTAGTGTTATCTCTTCCAGTGAGTCGTAATAATCCCTCCTAGACGTTTTATCCCTTCCTTCCGGTCCCTTCCCATTCTTTCACCATATCGTCTTTTCTCTTTATTCTCAAAGCTGTCATCCCCCTCAATGATCTATAAACGAATTGGAGTATGAGTGAGTGAAGACTAAAGATCAGGTATACAAATCAGGACAGCGACGAAAAAAGGAGGTGGAAAGTCTAAAAATGGACGTGATTCAATTGGAAAGAGATTAGGTGTTAAAAAGTTTACGGGTGTGTTTCGACCTTTATCACCACACCTCACAATTCTCGTACAGTTTCATTCCATCGTACACAAAAAACACTCAATCATGCGAATTTGTTCACTTGATGAACACCTTTCACTTGGAATGATATATTCTCAAACGTCCTGTTCAAGACGAAAGAATTCGTCAACCTTACCCAAGATAAAAGATTGTAAAATGCATCAAAGAAAGTGATTGACGATGCTCTTGACAGAAGAATAGAAAGAGATGAATCCGGTTGGACTGACTTATAGACCAATACGTTCTCCCTGGTCAAATCTTGATTCGTCAAAGAGGAACAGAATATCATCCAGGACAAAACGTTGGTAAAGGGAAAGATCATACTTTATACGCATTAGAACCTGGTTACGTTAAATTTTATTCACATCATCTACCTTATCCACATTTATCGAGACCAACCCTTATCCCTTCTTATCCAACATTAAACCAAGTCACTTCCATCACCTCCACTACCATCACTTCTTTATCTTCTCATGATTCGAAATCGACCTTACCTTTCCCCGATACATCATCGTCGGATGACCAGGTCAAACCTACTTTCTCTGCCATGTCGATGGAAGAAGGACACTCGAACGTCTTGGCGGAAACATCTTTACTAGGTACACATTTAGGAGCCAGAAGTGTCCTTCGACATCCGAGAGGATTACGTAGATATGTTGGGATCGTGAGAGATAGAGAGGATAGATTACCGAGGGATGAACGTGTTCAAGGAAGAGATAGAAGGTTTTGGGGTTGGCCTAAAGAAGTCGAAGGTGAGGTGGAAGAAGGATCGGAAAGATCTGTTGTTTGATGGATCGCGTCAATTTTCTCTTCGAGATCATTCTTTGCATCTTTGAGACTTGCTTTTTGACAGCATGAGGGTTGGTCCATATAGCTAAAGGAGACAACGAGGATGATTCGAGTGTGGGTGGGGTGGGCGTGGGGGTTACTTGGAAAATAAGAGAGGGAACAAGTATTCAGAAGTCAGGACAAGATTGAGAACCGCATAAACCCATCCCAGATAAAGTAAAATGCATCTATCACCATCCCTTTAGCCCAACTGTACATGCTCAGTAACCCGGTAGATTCCGGTAATGCTTAATCTGAATGGACTCTTCAGAAAACGTTCGAGGGGGCATATGTTCCCAAATAGGGTCTACGTCAGGTCCGTCGAGATCACCCGCACCGTCCCAACCCCAACACCAGACTGTGCGTCAGAGTGGTTCAGAGTCGATTATCACATTGAACCTGTCAGAGAAATAAAGGTACACATGGTTGAGCCTAGGGGGATGCAAAGAGGCGAGGAACCACTCCGTAAAATGTGTTCACAGGGTGATATTCGACAAAGGCGTCGTAAGTGAGTGAGGAGGGACATGAGATCAACGAAATTGCAAGTCCTGTGGCATGGATAAAAGCAGCAAGGACAAATATGTTGCTAGAGACAGACATTGAAGATGAATGAGAGTGAAGAGAGAATAACATTGAAGTAATGAGAAAGTGACAAGTGAGAGAAAACAACTCACCATACTCCGGCCCGAGTTGAAAAGCCACTTCCTCATCTTCCTCAGCGGTGAATAACCGATCATGAGGACCATACCAACTTCTATCCTGTGGATCCGTATGTGGATCATCTGGTAATCCACCAATACGTTTGTATCCTCTGATAGCGGTAAGATTCCTACGTTCAGGATGGATAATGTCGTATACTTTCTTAATTGGGTCAACTAAGAATATCAAAACAGATGAATATATGAACTTACTTGATCATATGCCAACTTGACCCTGGGAACCATGATGATACGTCCATACCCAGTATTCCAATAATCATTGCAGATTAATGAACATTCGGATGCTGAACATTCTCCGTCGGGAAGACGAGCCATACGGAATTTGACATGAGGGGGTTGGTAGAATGGAGCAGGGTCAAGGATGGCAATACCGTTCCAGCATGATTGGACTAAAGTCAGTCAAAGTCTCGTACCCAATGTCAAGACAATCGATGCTGGATGAAGAAATACCCCTCTACGCAGATCGACGAGTAGTAGAAGCACATATAAGGCTGAGATGCGAAGCGGATAAGAGTTGCGGGGTAGGGAAGGGGAGGGAGAGGAGTGTTGACTGTCATGGGGGTCCAATCAGGTACACACCTTGAATTGGAAGATGACGCTGGAAACGATGATTCGACTCTGTGTGATGAAACACTTGTTCAAATGGTGCATTTTCAAGAGCGGTACCGTTGATATCTCTTGCCACCCAATTGTCATAGAAGACCGGGGCGCCCTGATCATCAGTTCTCCGTTCTCCACTACCGCCCTGGGTGCCGATTTCCGCACACGTGCCAAAAACAAAGAAGCCTACTAAAGGGCAGAGGGGATATGGAATCATCGGAAAAGGAGACGTCGAGATATCGCCGAGACATCAAGGTGGTCTAGAGTTGAAGGACTCACAATATCATCGTGATACATGTAATCCGCCGCACAAGTAATCCCCGCGTTCTGTCTCCTCGATTGCCAAATCAACTCGAGCAAATCATCCACACAGGGTAGGATATCATTCATGAAAACGATACTGTCAAACACTTCATTCTCATTATCTCTCAACTCGTGAAGCGGTACCATTGCAGCATTCCGTACCTCTGCGAGGTATTCAATACGATGGTTGAACTGTCCTCTTGTACGCATCGAAGTCCTGATAATGACTCTCAATCCAACAGTACGAGCTAGCGCGTCGAATATCCTCAACAAAGCTTTTGTCTGGTCGTTCGAACCGTTCTCATATATGGAAACATAAACATTATGATATCCCAAAACGGCGGCAGTACGAAACAAAGTCGCAAAAATGTCCGGAATGACGTCGAAGGAATTATAAAGATTAATAGCGAAGAAATATTTATGTTGTTGAGCTTGTAAATCACGTCTGATATTTTCTGATCGACTATCACCGTAATTTCCATTATTACCAGTACGACCTAAAGCTAGTTGAGTGTTAGATACTCCACCACCGAAAAGACGAGATAGCCAATTAGAATTGGCCCAAGGACGTTTATGTCCGACTAAAGGTTCGTATCGTTCTTTCACCTGTTCAGCGTAGAGAGGTTGGACATGACGAGTACATTCTGTTGTGTGATGTGCGGTGAGAGTACCAAGGAGTTGAAGAATATGAAAACGTTGTTGAAGAGAAGGAAGAGTGATTTGAGAACGTTGTAAGCGGGATGAACCCGAGATGGGGTTAGGTCGAATGGCTTGACCACCAGTACCTCGCCAGTTGGTTTCGTCGTTCTGAAATCAGCACAACTTTCAGCCAGCTTTTTTCGAGCAATCTCGAGCTACGCGGACGAGACTTTTGTGAAATGAGGTGAATAAGGAATGTTGAGGTTTCATGATCATTTGGTCATGCAAGCAAAGAATTAGCTAGGAGGTACTACCATGAAAGACGTGGGCTCAGGCGAGACATGCAGTCATGAGGAAACCGAAACTCACACTCCCTCTTCTAAGTAACTGACCGTCAGCGAAAAGCAGTAAGGGAGAAGAAGACGTACAGAAGCTACCAAGAGTCCCACCAATATACCGACCAGTAAAGATCCAGCAGAAGGAAGTCTTCGACCATGAAGGAGAGAAGCTGGGTTCATCTTGGCTCACAAGTGGTTCTACAGGGCGGGAAGAGAAGAGAAGGAGAGAAGGAAGAAAGGGCGCAAATCGGTACGTGATCTGATAGGATATCTCGCAATGTCCGTGTGTCGCCAGCTACTCTATAGTCTATATTGTAACACCCGGCTCGTCGAAATGACGAATAGTAGACTAACCCAGGTGAGTTGGACTGGGGTATGATTCTTGTACTTAAATGGAGAGTGGATAGGTTTTTCGTCGCGATGGAGAGAAGGAAAGGGAAAGGGGGAACCGAATTCAATCCGACGCGCGCCTAATATCTTTCCGACGGAAACTACTCACCTTCCTTTAGAGGGTCCTATTGTCCATCAGGTGGTAAGAACATTCAACCGAAAACTCATTCCTCTTCTCTCTTTCCTAACCGCTTACCTTGTAAAGACCATCCATCTGATTCATCTTCAATAATGGCCACGGATTTAGAGACAGCAGCCCTCAACGGGACTCTCTTTCGACCTCGTTCCCCTTCTCCCACACGTTCCGCATCGACCGCTTCGCCAGAGAACACGGACGATGAACTTGGATCTGATATATCACCTTCCCGACCACCCTCTGCCGCGGCATCTTCCCAGGCGCTTTTACACGATGGACCACAGACAGGACCCAAAGGTGTGATCGAAGACCGTAAAGCTGTGGAACGACATGCCAGAAGACAACAGGAAGAAGTGTTAAGACAAAGAGTAGAGGAACAGGCTGAAAGGGCTATCGTGGTGCCTAGTTATAATGAAGAACAAGCGAGGGAGAGAGAAGAAGAAGAGTTGAGGTCAAGATGGAGAAGAGAAAGGAGAGAAGAACTTAGGTCGAATAGGGAAAGAGGGGATAGTCCTAGGAGAGGAGGGTTGAAAGAAGTGGGTCAAGAAGGTTTTGTCAATGCTGTGGAGAGAAATGGATGGGCTGTGGTTTTGATCTATGAGTCTGTGAGTGATCATTCAATTTCTCTTTTTCACAATCTTCCATCCTTCTATGAGCCAAGTGGTATGTCAGGCAGGACGGATGAGACTTCAGACTAACACAACGACTCTTTCGCCACGCCATGGACATTGATGAATTCGTAGACTGAAGTCTGTGCAAAAGACACCATACTGATACTCAGGAAATACAACGATGTCAGACCATCTTAGCTTCTATGCTACACCTTTCACTCAATCTTCCACCCACCATCGTCCCCCTCGCTCTGTTCAGGGCACGAGCCACCACCTTGTCTTTTTCACTTCTCCCGCATCTACAACCCGACCCGGAGGACGAATACAGTGATGAAGAAGACGAAAGGAAAGGTAAACCAGATCCGGATGTGTTACCGACTTTACTTGCTTATCGGAATGGAGAATTGGAGAAGACTTGGATCAGGGTTGATTGGGATGTTGGGGAGGAAGGAATTGAGGGGTTATTACGAAAGTAAGTCCCCCCCCCACTTTCCCTCTCTCTTCCTGAATCTGTTAACTTCCAATTCCCTTGATTTCCTCCCAACATATACCTCAGGTCAATCTTCATACATAGCACTTCTTATACCGACATGACGTCTTTATCAAGCTTAATACGTGGCTTCATATGTTGGTCATGGAGACAGCTGATGGAACAGAGAGGGGATCTTACCCCAAATCGGAGATCTTCATTTCCACGGCGGAAATGAGTTAGACGGTGACGAGTATGAGTGAAGTTTCCTTGGCACTCTGATGTATCCCTATGTGAAGATCCCTCAACGGAAGAAATAAAGAGGTGTGGAAATATAATGATTTTGATTAGTATTTACTATTCTCATTCAACGACTACAATGCCTTTTAATTGTCCTAATCCTGTAAAATGTCTTTACCGTGTTGAAACGTAAAAATTCCATAATTATGATAATCGATGTGTCACCCCTGAGGTCCATCACGATCAAGTATATACATGCATGTCTATTCCTGTCTTACACCCAAAGCCTTAGCCTGAGGGGACCACTAAAAGTCAGCTGGAAACCGAAAGAGACGTCGTTGGAACTGACCCATTGAGAAGGAATGGGTTTGGTGGGTGCTATATGACGTTCCTATTCATCAGTCTCATCATTTCATGTATCTTGCCAGGTAGCCTCCTCGACGTGTTCTTATCCCCCATTATTGTCCGTTCCACCATTCTCCATTTCTTGACTCCAAAAGCTGGTTTCTCCAGGCCACCGAATGAACGCTTCAGGACAGTGGTGATCTCTGGTCAGTAAGAGAAAGAGAGATTGTGTGTGTATGGGTTTGTGAGAGTCGATAGGTCGAGCATAAAGTCTGAACAAGCAAGAGAAGTTCAAGCGATGAATCAAATAGGAAACAATCATTGACCCACCTCATTCCTTGCTGATACCCTCCAAACTCCCCACGTAGCCAAACCTATGCCAACCATACAAACGGCGGTATTGGTGGCCCAATTCTTAGGTCGGGACCACCATCCTCCAGCCGGTGACCAAACTTCTTTAGGATAAGGATAATGCGCCTGGTCATCAGTCCATATTATCCTCTTTCTATTTCAAACCCCTTCTTATCCCGCACTCCACAAACGTCTCCTTCCCCGTTCGTGCCTTCCATCTTTCACAGCATTTCACCAAGGGGGGGAGACTAAGAAAAATGAGCTTACACCTCCTGCCTGTAACGTCAGCTAATAAATGGGACGCGAAGTAACTTACCATTATTGTTTCTCTCGTTCGGCAGGTGTGAAGTAACCAACAATGTCCCCAGATCAAGGACTTTGAGGCAGCGAGCCAGTGAAGATAGGCGCGCGAGATGAAGCTTTAGGCGAGCGTAGTAACATTCGTATGGACGAAATCTTATTGGTCGGAACATTCCGGAGGTTGGAGTTTGTATACGCCGCCGGCTCACACTTTCACTTTCTCCTCCTCCATCTCGATCTCCAATTTCTTTATTTCTGAAATCTCCCCTTCTCTTACTCTCTACGTTCATTCATTGAGCTTATAGACAAAATGGCAGGCGATTCATTTGCACCTGGTGAGTTATCCTTTTCAATCATCGAGATCGAAGATCAGTACCCCATTCCCCACCTACACACGAAATTTTCAGAGGAGGTAGAAACAGTGGGACCCGATCAATGGTCGATCTCGATCGTGATGTTCTCCAATGGTCACTTTGGAACACGAAAATCGTAAGAGTGCATGCTGATGTGATAGGAGATGCTAGTAAAGGTGCTGGGTTGTTCAAGGTATGTCTATATTTCATCCTCAGAACTCTCACCTCGCTTCTCACTTGGCCCTGACACCCCTTCACCCTTGTGGAGAGCCCATTGTCCTTCTGCTGTTCTCGCCAAATCCGTTCCTTCTTCTTCACATCTTTCTCATCGGGTCACGTGTAGTAAGTGGAAGCTCAAATGGTGCATTCGTATCTGCTGGATGGGGCGTAAGGTCGAGCGGGACCAGGACGCTCCGCAGGGTGTTTGCGAATTCGAGAATTTGGAATAACTCCCATAATTCGAAGTCGGACTTGTCATGGAAGATAAACCCAGAATTAAAACTGACCCTCAGACCCGTTGTGCTCAATGTCATACTCTAGGCAAAGGAGAAGGTCATAAAGTCGGACCTAACCTACATGGTGTATTCGGTCGTAAAACCGGTCAGGCCGAGGGTTTCTCTTACACTTCTGCCAATGTCAACAAGGGTATTGAATGGGTTAGTTCTACACGTTCTCCTCACTTCACCTATCTACAACACTTCCCGTGTGCATTTCCATCAAAACAGACCTTTTAATCGTTTCTATTGCTACTTCTTCTGTCTCTTAAACTCACACGCTGTCGGAAATTCCATCTGTTCCCACTTTGGTACATCCGCGCATGAGCGTGTTAAGACTTAAAGACGCACAATCGCAATAAGTCACGAGCGATCAGACAATGAATACATCAGCTGTAATGACTGTGATTGTAGCTGACTGGCAGTCTGAACAAACCCTCTTCGAATACCTAGAAAACCCCAAGAAATACATTCCGTAAGTCTCCCCCTTGTCTCTACGCCTGTTCGAACTGACTTGGACAGCGGTACCAAGATGGCGTTTGCTGGTCTCAAAAAGGCGAAGGACAGGAACGACTTGATTACTTATCTCAAAGAAGAGGTGAGGGGTGGTTTCACTACACACACACCTTTCCACTCACCGCCCTACATCGTGCCTTCTTCCTCTCTGTCCCTATGTTCTCTCGTCTCTTGCGTCCCACTCCTCCAGCCCGCCCCAAGGGGGCTTCTCCTCGTTCTCTTTCGTATACAGGAGGTCCTGTCAGGTGGTCAATGGAGATTCCAGATCATGGAGTCGATGCTGACACTGCAGACCAAGTAAAAGTCATTCCATCCTTAGTCCATACAGGCCATACACGTTTCTTGCATGCACCTCTCATATGTTGATAGACTTGATCTATGTGATCTCTTCTGGCCTAGATGTTAACCGACCTTGTTTCATATGTCAAGCTGAAGCTGCTGTCGATCGACGAATTGATTTTGTACAGGCCAATTTCGATGCTCACTTCCGATATCGATCTTTGTAGCCATGTAGCTCACTCAAGTTGGTAAACAGATCACTTGCTCCACCTACTGATCCACTGACTTACTGACCGATTGCCAAATGCACCCGCCGGTGCTGAAAGTACGTCCAGCTTGGGAAAACAAGAGACAAGTTGCAATCCATGTCCGTCTGGTCAATCTGGTCAATCTGGTCGATGTTGAAGAGAAGGAGAGAGAAATTGGTTCAGACCAACTACCCCAAAACAAAGCACGCCCATGAGATGAAACACTACTTCATAATGTCCAAACCTCACAATCATTAGCGTCGTTTGAATGGCAGAAGGTTGATTGACAAAAAAAGATTATCATCATTTCACAATTTGTTTTTCTAACCTTTTACATGCTTTTCCAATCAAACATTCTTCCAGTCCGTTTGAACTGGGTCTTTCCTTTCTCCGTGATAAGGAAATAAGATACGTATTCGTGATAAACGTTTGTGATTAGATCTCTCCTATCTTTTCCTCTCATCCCATCACCATCTTTCAACTTGATCTTCTTATCCCTCATCCTTCTCGTTTCCCTCTCCACATGCCCTTATCACCTTGGTATCTTAATCAACCCATTTATCCCCACCATCAATTCCTGTCGCCATGAAGTACCAATATGGAATTTCATACCATATTGTGAATGTTGAGGGCGGGTTCAACACCACTTGGTTTTACATGTCGAGATCGATATTGGAAAGATTGAACGAATGATAACGATGTCGACAATGATGAGGATGAGGATGTCGACGATGATGATGTCGACGATGATGATGGTGATGGTGAAGAAGATGGTGGAGTTGGTGGAGGTGACGATGATGATGATGATAATGATGATGATGGGTGAATCGTTTATACCGGTTCAGGTATATTCAATCGACAATAAGGATGTCTCAAAGCGTCCCCTACTGAAATCCTTGAATCAGGATCGAAATCTAATAACCTAACGATAAGATCAAGGAATAAATTATTATGTTGAGAAGTCGGTGGAATAATCTCTTTTAAAGGTTTTAAAGATTTTACAAATTTCCTAGATGATCTTGAAACTGTTGGATTTGGGAAATCAAGTTTGTTACCTTTGAAATATTCTGGTTTTTTTGATCTTCCTCTATCTACCATACGATTTGGCATGGGAGACATTACCGTTTCCATCATTGCTAGATGTTCTAGATTGTCGTGAGTTTGAAAAAGAGCGTCACCGGTGAAGAATTCGACTAGGATACAACCTATTGAAAAGAGGTCGCAGGGGTATGACCAAGGGAGACCTGAGATTGATTAGCATTGATGTCCTATCCTCTGATTTCAGGTATGCCATCTTGAAAGACTCGATTGGATAAGGCAGAACAGAACATAAGGGTTTTGGACGGAGTGACTATTCTAGTCTCGTATGGACACGAGGAAGAGTTGAGAATGAATTAATAGCCAGATATCAGGCTGACGCTGGAATGTAATATGAGTAGAGTGGAAGGATAAGGCGGACTAGAGAAAGGATATATGCAGGAAAGACAGAGGGGAGAATGTCAAGGACGGGATTTAGACAACCGAACGAAGATAGAAAAGCGATAAAATGAACACAACACTCACCCAGTATTATCTCTGGAGCTCGATAATGTCGTGTGCTAACGACAGAAGAATGATACTCATTCTCAAATGTCGCACTACCAAAATCGATCAATCTTATATCCGTATTCCGTAAGACGGATCTAGATTTTGCCCCTGCTCGCTTCCCGTCAGTCATGTAGTCTCATTATCAAACATCTCTTCTCTTCCCGGAATGTTCTCCACTGCTGAGGTGGGTATGTTTGAACATATTTCACTCACCCTGGGACCTTGTAATCTCGCTTCGTTGCTCACCAACAATATATTCTCCGGTTTGAGATCCGTATGAACCAACTTCAGTCGATGCAAGACTGATTGTCAGCTCAGCTACAAAGTAAAAATGACACACTCACATGCTACGCTTTGAAGAAGACTTTTTGCGAAATCTTGTATATGTCTCTCTGGAAAGGGTTGAAAGGCGTTTTGTTTCAGAAAATCGAATACGCTCATGCCGTATAGTTCAGAGACGAGACATGGGTGATTTCGGAAATCAAAGTATTCTTCGAGATGGATGCAGTTGCTATGTTGTCAGCTCATCAATGCACTAAAGAACTGCGATCGAGTAGAACCAATTTCTTCTCTTGGGTGGAGGAGATAGGCAGAAGATCCTCATGGCGAGAAGATTACAGAGGTGGAGATGAAAGCAGTCGTGACGAGCGAGGGGTGTGTGAGACACTGAAACTGAATTGAAGACTCACTTGACATTCCCCGGATCATGCCTCTTTAGCGTCTCAAGCACACGTATCTCGATCTTGCTGGCATCACGATACTTTTGCACAGCTCTTATGATTTTGATGGCGACCCTTCGTCTTGTTTCCATATGTCGAGCTTCGACCACTTTGCCGAATGTTCCTTGTCCTAAAAGCCTGACTATTTTGTCTGGACCGTCAGTTCTTCATCGGTGACAAAAGATAGGTGTCTCCAAACTCGAGATCGGGGTCAACCAACAGAGTTCAGAGGAAGGTCGGGAACAGACCGAAGTGAATGCGAAATTTGAACTTTACCACCAAAGGAAATAGAACGTCACGAGATGGAGCATGAGGATATGATAAGAAATCTGGCCCGACTCACATTTGTTCGCAATGACATCGTCTGGTTTGACGATATAATGACCCTCTGCGTCGTCCCAAGCCACAGTCCCATTACTTTGCACACTGCTGGCTGGTTTCTGAGCTTGTTGTATTATACTCGCAGCGGTCTAAAAGTCAGTGATACTTTCTCAACATGTTTTACCCACTCAAACGCCTCAGGAGTGGCAATTATGAAGACAAATAACATTTGACATTCGAATTTTAGCTAGAAGAACTCGAGTTGGGAGAGTAGAAACGACGACAGGTTTACTATCACTCACTCCTGATTGCTTAGCCTTGGCCTTCTTGATACTCCCCACTTCTGATCCTTCATCAATCTTTCTTTTCTTTCCACTTCCCAACATACTGGCAGAACCATTGATACTATGTCCATTGGTCACACCTTTACTCGATCCAGCATGGCTAGCGTTGGCACTATTGATCGCATTGGCTTCCGCTGCTACTTGCGCCCTCGTCCTTTTTCTCGGAACTTCTGGTGTTTGAGAATCATCAATGACTATTATTTCTTTCTGTCTTCCCACTGAATCATAAGTATGTTCCATAGTCCAACCATTACCCGCTTTTGCCGATTTACGAGGTCTTGATCCTGAACCTCCTGTTGAAGATAAAGTGTGAGGGGTCACGGAACCGGTAGGTTGTGCGACGTTGACATTATTAGGTTTTTTCCTCGGTGGCATGATGGAAGGAGTATTTGATTGAATGTAAGAAATAGGAGGAGTGACGGAATAACGAAATGTCAATGGAGGTGGGATTACCAATGAAGGTTTATTTTGGTTTTGGTCGATATTCGGTAGATAAGGTGAAGGACGAAAAAAAGAAGGATAAGGTGGTAATAAATAATTATCTGTTGAAAGAGGTATAGGACTCGTTTCACCAATAGGACTTGAAGAATGAATTATTTGATGATTCAAATCTTGGATAGGTCTCAAATACGATTGATGATCTTGTATATTACCAGTATAATCGATTTGATTGTGATTGTTGTAAGATCTTAAACGTCTATCTGAATTTTGTTTAGGGTTTGAAAAGACTTCGATTCGTCGGGGATAAAGAGGACCTTGAGAAGAAAGAGAAGGAAGGGTTTGAATCGGAGTTTGAAAAGTAGCTGTCAATGGTGGGTTTGGTGATCTTAAACCTCTATCGAAAGAGTTATTACTAGAATTACTCGAAGCTGATAACGGATGTGATAACGATGATAAGTGAGATTGTGAATGATTCAAATTTCTTTCGTATTTGTTCGAATCTGATGTATACGTATGATCCAAAGGTTTTAATAGTTCTAAAGGCTTAAGATGTTCGACTGGGATTAAAGAAAGAGGAGGTAAGATTGGACGAAATGGATGAGGTGATCTTGTCCTTTCCAAGCGATTTGAATCAATTTGATATGATTGTGAAGGTAACGAATATGGAATCGTTTCTTTTCCAACAAAGGGTTGTCGTTGTGACTGTCGAGGGTTTTGATTATGATAAGGAAGGAAAGAATCACTATTACTTTGAAATGGTTTATATGGAGAAAATGGATGATGTGATGAAAGAGAAGAAGGAGATTGTCTGATTGGATCGGTACGATAACTAATACGATCTTCACTTTGTTTGATAGTTGTATTGGTGGTAGTAGTAGTTGTGATTGGGATTGGGTATTCGTCTAAGGATTCAACGTTTGTTATATGTCTGTTCATGAGTCTTTGGACGGGTTGCGCCATAGGGTTATAAGAATCATAGATCGATCTCAACTGGGTGGATGTTGAAGGAATGGGGGAGAGGGAGAGAGAGGAGAGAAGTAAGTTGATAGTTGATAGTTGATAGTGGACGGTGAAGGGGTGGAAGAGGGGTGAAGAGGGGGAAGGGGGCAGGAAGCCTCGAATTGACCAAATGGCACTCTCGTTCACACACCCTTCCTTCCTGTGCGGTGCTTCGGTAGTTCGGCCAATATACAAAGAGGCGGAGATACTAATCAAATCCACTCTAGATTTACTAATGCTGATCTCTTTCTAATAGTAAATAGCAAATAGTAAAACAAATCCTAATGATCAACTTGTGGTATAAGTTTATTTACTTGACTGCTTGCTGCGTATGTATCTCTTCACCACCACTTGATGTTGTTCAACCACAACCAAAACAAAAAGATCAAAGATTGTTAATCTACAAGTCCGAGTACATGAACAAAGTGAAAAAACAACTAGAAACAAAATCTCATCTTGGTTCAATTGTCCAAACTTGATAACGAAAAAACCCAACCCCCTACACCCTCCTATTCGTATGGATCAACCATTTATTCCCCTTCCCCTCCTTCCCCTGCCAGTTGACAGTTTCCGTCTACCCATGCGAACTTGTACATTCTCCGACACTTGGGGGAATCTAAGCGAAGGATGGAGAAGTAAACGGTCTGGCCCTACTTCCATTCATTCTTGACCCCAAACGTACAGAGAGGGCCTTTGTTCCGCTTCGAAGCGGGGGGGTAAGACTTGAGACGTATAGGGAGAAAGAAATTGTGGCGTTTCATACGACAATGACTTTTTTAACTATCTCGAGTCGTCCGGTCTCTCATGGATGAGGTGTATCTCGAGAGTATCTTGGAGAGTGAACATTGATAACTGATCATCGTTGGAGATAGCAAGTCTGATGCATCGTAATAGGTCATCAAGGTCGTCTAAATTACACATCTACAAATCGTATGATCTAGGGTTGACAAGCAGGTTCGTAGATTTCATATACACACAAGGGTGGGTGGCGTGTAGATATTGACTTTCACTGACAAGGAAGACTAAAATGACAAAGTAATGGTCGATGGAGAAAGGTGCAGAAGGGCACTTGTACTGGGTGGTGACGGAGGAGTGACGTAAGGGTTGACGGAGATTTGAGAAGCGGACGAACAGCCTCAATGAGACTTCTCATGCCTCCGCACTCGTACTGATCACACTCATCCACGAGTCCATGTCCTGTTGCGTGGCGGTCCGTACGATATAAGAATTGGTAGGTGTGAAAATGGTGAAAGCGAATTTATGCTGTCATGTCAGCTTGGGAAACGCATGGCTTGCGGACTGTAGAGGATCGAGAGCTGAATATAAAGACCAACAGTCCCTCGCATCGATTGGTGGTAGGGACTCTGATCGACATCACTAAATAGGTGGGGGCTGGAAAAAAGCGAGGAGAGGACAGAGAAGAAAGAACAACTCACCCCAAGAAGTATCTCAACATCAGGACTCGGTGCAACACTAGCTTTCGAAAGGTTGATGATCTGAATTTCCCTCTCACCCATCTTCTCATGCACGCAAAGATACGGTCGTCGTAAGAGAAAAACCAATTTTTCCCAATGATCGTTTTGTGAATCGCGAAGTATCATCATAGGACCTGATTTAATGATGTTTTGTCTGGAGATCAGTTTCCGTCTCTCCTATGCTCCCGCGAGTCTCTACTGATCCTGGAAGATTGCTCATAACAATTCTTCCCCCACAAGAGACAAAAGAGATCCCATCATCTTCTCCTGCAGGAGACCATATGAGTCCACGAAGAGTTCTTTGCTGATATCTACGCTGGTATTGATGATATGCTCATGTTGTTTCGTGAGCAGGGAATTGGGGGGTACAGGTAAAGCGAGGGAGAAAGCAAGTGATACTGACGTCAGAGTAACCTGTTTGACAGACGGCACGAGTTTTGGTTCAAGTTCTGGTATCATCTTTCTGTATTTTTTCGCTATGGCCAATTCCTCTGCCGTGTCTTTGTTAAGATTGATCTGTATGTCAGTCTGAACCTTTTCTGTCTCTCTTTCTCTCTGTATGTGTGCTTCATCCCTTCTTCGTCTGTCTGTCTGTGAGGTTGGGGAAGTAGGTTCATCTCCTGTTCTTACCCTTCTCAACGCTCATTATCAATCAATCTACGGCCCAATCATCGCTCCCCTTCATGAGATCATCCTTCGTCTCGACCATTGCACGATAGATATGAGACTCAGAAAAGAGTGTGCGGACAAGAATGTGCGAGCAGAAATTGTGAACAAAGCATGTGGATCAAAAAATATGGACAGATTGAGAAGGACGACCCTATTCAACTCACTTTTATCCTTCCATCCAATTCCATCTTCCACAACTCCACACATCTTCTCAACAACCCATCCTTTTCATCCTCTTTCATTTCCCTTTTCCCTTCCATCTCCCCAAACGGACCCAAAACAGCTTTCGTACTTTGTACATCCGCCAAAGCATGTTCAGCCCTTATCAACCTTTCGAAATCTTCCAACAAACTTAGACTTCTCGGTCTCCAATCTCCTAGAATCTCTTCCCCTTTCACATGTTTCTTCGCCGTATCCAATCTCCATAAATCCTGTGTGCTCCTAGCTAATGGTGGAGCTAGATCCACAGAATAAACGACAGTGATATTATTATGTACCTTATTTCCTCCCCAAAAATTAAAGAAAGAACTCCGTTTTGCGTCCCTACCAAGGATACGAAGTGGAAGATCATAACTCATCATTGCTGGTTCATCCAAATTCTCAACTTCCACTGCCCAAATGACTTTGATGAGGATATGTTGATCCGAAGGTGTTTTCTTATCTAAATGATTAGAATGATGTGAAGCTGTATCCCAAAATCCTAGAGCGGAAAGAGTCGTAGTTCCATCTGTATGATGATCAACAGATTGTGATGATAATTTAACTTCTACTTCTGGTTTACTAACGCTAGATATGTTGCCTTTGACAATTACTCGAACGTCTGATGTACTAACATGTGTCAATTTACGCCACGGGAGAGAACGACCAGAAGAATGATGAAGTTTGATGATGATTTGTCTTTGAAGTCCTTGATGAAGTTGAAAGATATTATCGATGACTTCAGATGGTACGTATTCCCCTGAAGAAGATAGTTCACGGATTTCAAGAGAAGAAAGAATATCATGATGTTGAGAAGAGATGAATTCCGTTTCGCATCGTCTCATCTCAGGACGAGTATCCCCCTTTTGATTCGGGGTGATACTTCCGGTTCCGGATAACGGAGAAGTTTCACGAACTCTGTCCCATCGTTCTAATCTATTCAGATATTCAGGTGTTACTTTGGCGAAAAAGTCAATGGTGGCGTAATTCTCTTGAAGGAAAGAAAGTATTTCAGGGGTGATGATGATGGACACCGTGCGTCGAAGAGATAAATGAGCTACTGAAGTCTTTTTGAGATCTACAGGTAGAGAAGCGAAAGTATCTTCAGCAAAAACGGATGGTCCCACCAGAGACGAAAGACGAGTTTGAGCATGGACCGATGAAAAGTTGACAGATGTAAGACCTTTGACTTTATCCACCGTGATAGTGAATGTGAGTTTGGTTCCAACAGCGACAGAGTTGCCTATGGAAGTACGCATGGAGTCGGGTGTGGTGATGCCTGAACTTGTAGATGAGGGACATTTGATGTCGACAAGACAAGACCCGATGGCTTCCATAGTGTAAGGACAGAGAATGGGAACGGTAGAGGAGTAAGAAACCTGTTTTGCTAGGAGGTTGAGGGAAACTTTTGCAGAACCGATAAAGGAGAATGTGGGAGCAGGATTATCCGTAAAAGCTTCATCCGTTCGGAAATGTAAGGTGTAGTTCGGACGTTGTTTCAAAGCGTGTACATGACGCATTTTAGTGAATTGCTGATGAAACCGGGCGAGATCCCAAACGTATACTGCTTGAGCGTTCCGATCGATAACTTTGATTCTGACACCTGGACCGATAGATGAGCCGACAGAATTGGAAACATCTTCAAATTCGACCACTCCGTTGAGATCGTCTAGAGAGGATACCGAGCCAGCTGATGCTCCTCGACTTATGAGGAAATTATAAGAGACTGATTTTCCCATCTCATGACTTAATATCAGCCCCGAATCACTATGACGAAAGAATACTCACGCAATGACATTCGCCTCTCTTACATCTACAGCACCTTTCAAGATCTCCTCAGCCATTGTATATGACCGAAGACGTTTCCACCGCTCCACTGCCCATTTCACCAGTCGTAGCTCTTTAGCAGACCAATTGGCAGATTCCACCACCGTCCTTTCCAACGCCCTCGCGACAGCCGCTTGGGATTTGACCAACCTGACTTGCTGTGCCATATCCCTCAGCTGTCTCGTTAGATGTTCTTGTTCCAACGCAGCATCGGCTACCTTTTGCGCATCAACTGAGACGATAGGGAAAGGATGTTCCGTATCGGTCTCTGAGATTTCTTCGATAATAGCTTGATCTAGGTCCAGACCTCCAGGGGTAGCGATCGAGTTACTTGTCAACGTCGTTCCTTGCATAGTGGCCCAAGGATTATTACCGTCCACCAATGAATCTTCCGTGTTGGACGCTACCATCAATCTTGACTCCAATTCCGTGGTCAAGTCAGCCCGACTTTCAGGACGTTTCCGTTGAGTTCTGACTTTGATGATGTCGTCGAATAACTTGTCAAGATCTTGATCACCGAGCTTCTCAATATCTGCCACTTCTCGTCTGGCAGCTGACCAGTCCATGAGCTCAGGTTCGGGCTTGCCATTACCATAAGGTGATTCGGAGCGAAAACCTGGTGAGTTGTCCGCTGAAAGCTGATCGACACTTGTTGATTCACGCAGTTTTCGACGTTGAGCTCGTACGGCACCGGGATCATTGAAACGGAAGACGTGGAAATCACCCAGGATGACTCGGAATCCATTGAGAAGTTTGACTGGAGATTTAGGAGGAACGCGTTTTCCGTTCACGAATGTACGCGCGTCTGGCATGGCTTCGAGGGTGACCACACCATCAACATTGGAGAAAATGCAATGTTCGGGGAGGATGTGAGGGCCGGAGAGACGTATTTGAGCTTTGTCATCATCGACACTGCCTACGATGGTAGTACCGGGCTTCAGCTGATATACTAGGCACTGTAGACGTCAATACCAGCCTACAACAGCTTCAATCAGGCTCACCTCAGACATGAGCGGGTCTGCTCTCATCAGCATACTACCCATTACCTCAGAGGAGACTTACCCTCATTCAGGTTGACAAGGGAAGGATGTTTCTGAGGGGCATGCACTCCAACCAGCTGAAAGGTCAGCAAGACACATCACGCAGTCGCTCACATTTTTATCAATGGTGATCCCCATCTCTTCCAGAGCTTTCTCTCGCTCGACATGTATCGCCTGCGTCTGAACCATTTTCTGCTCCCAAGTCTGATTGAGACTATCCATGAGCTTCTCCGATGCTTGTAGTTGGTCCTGTAGTTCCAGCTTTGTGACACGTCGAATTTCGCCATCTTTTGTACGATACGTGACGATCTGCTTTTCCGGAGAGATATTTGGGTCGTAGGATGCTTCGTCCGTGCCTGCTTGCCCAGAGACACGGCTGCGAAGCACTGGAACATCAGTTGACGATTTGAAGTTGATCATAACTCACTTTCGAGCTCCTCTTTGAGCTCCCTGCCTATGTCAGCTATGCCTGGTATGCGAGATAGGACCTACCTGATAAGCTTGGCGTTGGGATCCTCATTGACCACAGCATGGGTCTTGATCTTCTTCGCAGCGTCTGCATAACGAAGAGTACTTGACGGATGTCAGCTGTTGCGTCTAGACATCCCACATCAGCTTACCTCAGGGTCTCTTCGTCTACGCATCAAATCAGCAAGTCGTTCACGTATGATGACATGACGAAGGACATACAGTCAGCGGGTGAGATAGCAGCAATCATAGCGGTCTTAGAGTTCCCTCCGAGACTTTCCTTCAACAACCAAGTGAGAACAGAATCTCTGTAGGGGACATGATCGTCCTTTTTCTTCTTGCCGGTCTGGTTGCTGGCTTGCGCTAAAGCTGCAATGACCTTTCCGAGAGTCGTGAGCGATTTGTTGATATTGGCGCCTTCTTTCAATCTGGTTCCCTGCGAATTAGTCCCCACATCGTGAGCAATGCATGCTGCTACTTACCGTCGCACCGGTTGAGGCTTGTCGTTCACTGCCGGCCAGATCGACCAAGGAAATTTTGGACACCTTTTCTCCGGTCATGTTGCTCGTGGGATCCAGACGTTTTTGGGTCAACTGCACGATCAGATCTACTTCTCATTGCCGAAGGGTAAAACAACTGACTATGAGAGTGAAGACCGCATGTGATCGGGAAGAGGTCTCGTTCATATTGGTAGAAGCAACGGTTCTCGCCTGAGTTGTCAGCTGCATTGTCCCCGTAAGTATCTGCAGCTGACGGACCTTGTTACCCTCGTCCATGAGAGTCATCATTTGGCTGTAGTTTTCCACTACGAGTTTGCTGAGATCCTCCACGTATGGTCCGAGTGAAGGATGTTCTCGTACTCTGAGGTTGCCCTTGTTTTTGGGATTGAGTAGGTCTCGTACTCTGCGATATTAGCTCGGGGCGTCTTCTTCCATACCATATATGACTATGGCGCAGTACCACTCAGTGCACAGATATGATATGAGACCTGCGAGAAAGTAGAAAGTTTTTATTCAACCAGCTACTCTTATAGGGGAGCGAGCGTTCTGTGTGGAGCTTTGCCGTGAAGTTGAGGAGGTGAGAGTATCTGACTCACTTCTCATTATAAATCTCAATATACGAAACCTCGACAGTATATGATAAATTAGTATCTTGTGACATGCGTGATTCGACCCTGTTGAACAACTCGGAAGTAGTTAGAGGTATGATCCCTTTATCGGCTCCGTAACCCATCATAGAATCTGCTTCTCAGCTAATTCTCGGCAAACCGTGATATCAGCTCACAGCTCTTTCCACTAGAGACGTCAGCTATCAATCCATTTATCCTATTATAGACTCACCTGCCTGTCTGACCATCTGACACGAGTCAGTTTGACTCTCTGATCAGACGTAAAAAGACTTACATGCGAAGATACAAGTGTTAAATCCCTCAAAACTGTGATCGAGTAATTCGACACCAAGATCTTCGTAGAGAGTTTGTTGAGAGGCATATTGTGGTTCATCTCTAGGCCCAGCTGACCAGTAACTTTTGTCTAAATGATCAGCATGACCATGTCTTCATTCTTCAGTCAAGTCACAATGACTCGCACGGGCTTCGTCTTTCTTGTCATAACATGCAGCTGAGAGAGCAGAAGGTGAAGACTACCGGGTCGGTGTCAGAGGGAGTACCGAGGTATCTAGTGAGTTGCAAAAACGTTTTTCCTGAAGTATTTGTACGGGGCCATACGAGAGAAAGAAGCAAGCATGGGAGAGATCTTGGAGATAAAAGGGGATGAAACAGGTGAGAATGAAGTATTGCCCCAACTCACCAAAAGAGAACACCTGAGGTTTCTTCTCAACAGCTCTACTACTAGTCACTGTAATTTCCGGAGGTTCTAAAATAGTTTGATTATCTTCCATCTTTATCAAACCTTTTGCCCCTCTTGCCAGCTCTGATTATCAGTAAGCGTCCTGTCTGATCTCAAAGACGTAATTACCGCGAGCGTTGAGGGGCCGACATCTGCCTTGTCAGCTAGCTCAAGGGTGGTCAGGAGGTAAAGAGCTGACCTTACGACGACTTTGATATTACCTCCAGACATTATGTTTTCATTGACTTGTATCCGTCCTCACTCTTTTGATATGATCTTGTAAGGAGAAGCGTGAGACCTCGAATCTTGCAGGAGAGGTGGCAATACAGCGTACGGCGAGTTCGATTTGGTTAATTGTTGAGGGAGCTGCGTGAGATCGACGTGTGGAGTGAAAGGAAAGGGGCAATGTGTCATGAATCCAACATGATGAGATGATGAGATGGTCTTTTGATTAGATTTTTAAAGATTTGAGAGGAGAAAGAACACGAGGAAAAGAGTGAGAAGAGATCAATGCTCAATTTTCGTACCTACTTACGGAAAAATCAAAGGAGTGTGTCTTGCAAATTCCACTTTTGCCACCTGAAATACAATCGACGTGACAGTGACAGTGGCAATGACAGTGACGGTCACACATGTTGACCTGTCATGACTTTATTCCTAAAAGGGATATAGAGGTCGAGAGTGTTTTGATTTTGTATACAAATATCCCATATGCATATCTATGCAGATGTGTCCATAGCCACATGTCCATTCGTGATTTCTTCTTCACCAAACATCATACCACTCGTCTCCCTCGCATAAGTCGTGCTTCTCTCCACATCACAGAAATATTGATATGCCATCTTGACATCTTCAACTTCCACACTTGTCAATTTCCTTCTTTGTGCTAATAATTGAGATGGAGCGATGAGGTTGAGGGCGTAACGAAGAGAGGTTTTTTGACCTAATGTGGCTAATAATTCAAGAGCGTCAGGGGATAATCTGACGTCTTCTTCATCCGCCCTGTTGGTCAGTGACCATGACAATCATGAGTGAAGGACAATATTGGCGGACGAGGTATGTCAATCGGAAGTGAACATACCTGATCTTGACAATCTCTCGGATTTCCGTTTGATCATATTTCCCAGTGGAAATAATGAGCATTCTATCCAATAGATCGGTAGGTATACCATGAGGAGATTTATATTTTGTCCCTCTTATTCTCGTTATACCCCTGTTGGACGCCATGACGACCAAAGGAGCCATTTCATTTTCCAGAGCTCGATTAAGGAAAGAGAAACATTCGATATCCAGCATATGCACTTCGTCAATGAACAGAACCTGACCCATTAGCTATCTGACATTCACACATGAAACACGTGAGGTAGACTGACCCCAGGTACAATCTCAGCTTTTCCTTCTTCTCGCCATTCTGCCACTTTACCATTGATTTGATCTCTCAATTCGGGCTTAATCTCTCCTGTATCTCCAGCAAACAAAGCTAAAAAGCCTTGAGTTCGAGAGTTGATAACGTCTATCTCGTGTAGTGAGACCGTATGAACGACTTCTTTTCGTACTTGTAACTCTCCATCCGGACAAGCAACGAATCTCGTCTTCAAGTCAGCTAGATATATTCATCAAACAGCTATTAACTCACATCAGCTCCCATGGCATCGTAATCTTTTGCTCGTCCGAAACTTCTTCCAAGTTTTGATATCCTCCCACTAGCTTTGTCGATGCTGACAACATCACCTGCCAGAACTTTTTCCTTTTGCAATTGATCGATCATCTTGGAACCAAGATCATAAACCGTTTCCATGTCTGTGGTTTTGAGAGTTAATCGTCCTGTCTTCGTGGCCTATCCTATCAGCTGGACCATGAGATTGTTCCCGATAACTGACCCCTGTGACACTTCTGTCAACTTGAATTTCCACGACCTCCCCTTCGATCAATTCTGTCTCTTCCTTTATCCTCACACCGATGGACCTTCTAAAGGCTTGGGTGAGAGATTCGGTTTTTGACATCTAAGATATGTCAGTGCTTCTACCTACCTCTCTCTTCCTCTTCTCCTGTCATACGACCACCAAACAAGAGCTAGCGAATATGAGGAGATCAGACTGGACTCTTGGAGCGGTTCACTCACCTCAAGCGAATACACCTCTGAAGCAGTCAGCATGACGAAAGGTACATCCGTCCCTAATGTCTGTGCCATACCTAAGACCGTCAGCTATCAGAGATACAGGAATTTCCAGCTGACCCATGGCAATGGCGGTTTTCCCAGAACTAGGAGGACCAGCCATCAAAATAGCCCTCCCTGCTATCCGTCCTTCTTGAACCATCTTCAAAATCACCCCAGCCGCTTTCCGAGCTTTTCCTTGTCCTATCATACCCTGAGAGTTGACTCGAGGTTCCAGATTCGCATCTAAACCGAGACCGTGAATATGAGAGTGAGCACCTGAGTGAATCAGCGAGAACCTTCTTGGCTGTCACATAGCGGAGGGAGTAGTGAGGGAGGGGACATACCTATACGCTCCATCTTGGTCACGTCTCTCATAGAGCTTGGTTGGAGGGAGATATTGGCGGCCTGGACGTGTCAGTCACATTTCACACTCTCACTATGACGTCTCCTACGCACCATATTTCTTGGTAAGTCTTCGTGTTGTAGTACTCGAAATGTAGCATGTAGAGTAGCACTTGAAAAGTTGAACGAATCTATAGGGCTCAGTCCAGCGGAATGGTCATTAATTTCTGATGTATTTCTTCGATTTATCCCAAATATTTCCATAGCCAAAAGATGTTGGTGTTGTCCTTGCTTCTGCTATAGACAATGTCGACAGAGATCAACGACCTATCGTCTACCGCCCTCGCTCCTATCCCGCCTCAGGAGCAAGCTACTGACTCAACAAGCATTGTCGACCCACCCAGTAGCTCCAAACGTCCTCGCCAACCAAGCCCTCCTCCCTCCGAACCTCTCTCAACACTCCTACAGCGTCGAGTGACCACGATCAAAGAAGGTGACAATGTCTTACTCCGTTTACCGAGCGATACTGTCAAAGCTGTTGTAGCTTCCCATGAAGGTTTACTACAACTGGGCAAATTCGGTGCTATACCCGCTTCCCAATTACTGGGGCTGCATTATGACATCACATATGAGATTGTCACGGGTGGACCAGGTGCGATTGAGCAGAATGGTATTTCGCAGAAGGAAGATCTTGTGGATGATGAAGGAGTCGGCAAAAAGAAGAAGAAGAAAGATAAGGGGAAGGGGAAGGATATGGAGGTTGGGTCACATCCTGGTTGGAATAACATTCTCCGACCTTTGAAAGAAAAGCGTTTGGTTGAAGCTGTCTTAGGTGGGTACTGATTTTGTCTTTCTCACATCGACCACATCTACCATATATCCTCTGTCCTCCAATAGTCGACTATATCAAGCCAATATCACTGAGTTACCATCCGTTTCGAGTCTATATCACTCCGGGGAAAGTCAGAGGTGATATAATACCACAGAGAGTGACTGATCCATAGACGACGTAAGAGAAACAAATCAATTCATAGACGATACAGAAGAAGCTCGTCAAGCTCTCTTATCACAAGAAGAAATCCTCGATCTGCGATCTCAAGGTATATCAGCTGAAGAAATGATTCAACGTCAGATATCCCGTCATGAAAGATTCGAACTTAAAACTGATTTCTCAAAAGAAAAATGGCGTAGACGAAAAGAAAAGAAATATTTACAAACTGTTATTCCTATTGCTCCAACTATTCAAAATATGTTACAACATTATGCTACTCGAGCTCCACAAAGTATTTTGTATCTGAGAGATGATACCATGTCTCAAATGCTTGTTTTGGCCAATATAAGACCAGGAGGAAAATATTTGGTCGTTGATGATACGGGTGGTTTGGTCACTGCTGCTGTCATAGATAGGATGGGAGGTGAAGGAAGGATAATGCTTTTCAATGAAAATGATAGTCCTCCTGCTTGGGGGATATTAGGAATAATGAATTTTGGTCAAAGAGAATTGGAGTGTGTAAAATGGTTGAATTGGATGGAAATGGATGAAGAGTATGAAAGGCGTGAGTTGTCCATTCATCTCATCTATCCTCATTACACTTCTCTCTCTGTGCCACTCTCCCAAGCAGCGTAGATATTCGATTATCCTCTGCTTCGGCGTGGACGGGTCCAAAGCGCTGAGATCGTGTGGGGTGGTGTCAGACCAAATAATCTCAAAAAAGGATGATATGGATCAACAGTCTTCCATAATGACTGTCTGACTTCTACCATTCAAATTTGGGCTGATGAGCAGCTCCTCCTCCGGAAGAAAACGGCGCACCTGTATCCCTACAGAAATCGCAAACCAAAATGAGACGACATCTAAATCAAGTAGCAGAACTAAATGCTACTCGTGATGAACTTTACATGGGCAATTGGGATGGGTCAGTCAACATCTCCCCTTTTCCCAATGGGTTGCAAAAGCTGATTCAGAAAGATTGATATTAGCAACGGAATTATCACCTATCTCTATCATTTCCCGTCTGATACCTTATCTGGGTGGATCGGCACCTATAGTGGTTTACTCGCCATATCTTCAAATATTAGCGGAAGTTTTACATTGGTCGAAGAAAGATCCGAGGTTTCTTAATGCTACTCTTACGGAATCATGGAGTAGAACATATCAAGTGAGTGAAGCCTTCCCATCCCTTGATCACCTTTTCCGTTGCCCACATTTGTCCGTCTCTCCTTCCCGTTTGGATGCTTCTTTCACGTCCAAGTATTGCAAGAAGATGATGACTCACTCGCAAAAGAGGAGGGTGAGAGGGTAGCAATCAACACGGAGAGAACTTTATTGTGAGGTGACAGAAACTCGCTGACACTCAGGTCTTACCGGGCAGAACTCATCCTCTTATGACCACAAGCGCTACAGGAGGATACATCTATCACGCATTGAGAATGTAAGGCACTCCTCTCCTTGATTCCGAAGCGAAGCTGACTTTAGACACCCATCGGCATTCGAACCTATGTCCAAGAGGATAGATAAGAAACGAAAGAAACGACCTGAAGGTACAACAATGGACACCGAAGTCGTGAGTAGTGAGATAATATCTAGTCGGGTGGAGGAAGAAGTTGGAGAATCAGCAGAAAACATCTCGCAATCTCTGAAGGATTGATATATCTTCTTGCATCATACTGTATCACTGTCAGTGTAACCTCGTTTGGATTACTTTATACTCACTATACACTCATCGTGCTTACTTTCTCTCTTTCAGCTCGAATCTGGATTTGACCATTCTCTTCAGGCGAATTAAATCGGAACGACTGGATAGGTGAGGCAGGTGGATCTGTGGGCATCTCAAATACCTTAAGTAGGCCGCAAGAACATGGAACGGGAGATAGCAGGTGAAACGGCCAAGCAGGGTGAGTTGAAGCAGGGAGGGGGGGACTAGGCAGTGAGGTACAGAAGAGGAACGTTGGAAGGAAACACAACAAGGAGGATGGCAGAGTCAAGAAGTAAGTATGTTTCATGCATATCATGTTTGCAAAGACAATCTGCACTTGTGCTATGATTGCAAAGACACCATCCATCCCAGGTGAACACTAATCTCATCAACATAGTCTTGTTGCCCTTGGCTGACCACCTTTGCTTGAAAGAAATCAACTGATCATGCTCACCTTCAGGGCAAGAGTGTAACGGTACTGGAAACACGATGACTAGGTCGCAGGTTGGGTCGAACTCGATGGAAGTCTCGTAGGAATCTATGTGTCTCTGGTGCTATGTGATGGATCGTGTCTCCTCTGCAATCGATGTAGCCAAAGAATGATATTGAAGAATCAGCAAAGTTGGTACTTTGCTGATTGTACTATATACTATGTACAAGAGTCCGGGTCCTCCTCTCAGTCCTACTGCAAGCGTCTATGTACATACTCGGACAGGTGAAAAACCGCTTTTGAGCAAACCCAGTGGGGAAATCTCGAAAAGGGAAAACCCGTCCCTACCTACTGCAGCACTGCCTCCAACTCTCGCCGTTCTCTTTCCTAATCCGTCAAACTCGATGGAGTTCTCTCGATTCGTTGTTACTACGTAACAAAGAGTAATTTCCTGCTCCTTCTGGAGTTCTGGGTGCCCTGATCAGAGTGGCTGGGCATTGTGGAAGCTAGAGCTGTTTGCGGGAGCAAATCCCTTTGGGAAAGACCTGAGTCATCTGCTACATTTTGGGAAGGGGATTGACAACTCTCACTGTCAACTCCACCCTTAGATTCATCTGACAAACCTGCTGAGGGTCCGGGAGGACTTCCAATTTCTGGTGGCATGCTTGCAGCTGAAGTCAGGCATATGGGTGTTGGTAATGACAGAGAGCACAATCTGTCAGTTGCTTGGCAGTGCGCGCATGTGTTGAGGCCATCAGTACAGTCACATCTTACTTTACCTGAACGGCAGCGGTTACACGAGCGGGCCTTATATCCTGGTGATGGATCCGTCCCAGTCTCAGACGCCAAACGGACCACAGCAAACAAAGCTGTTACAAGGAGTTCTTGGTTCACCTCATCATAGGAGGAATACGGGTTTAAATCTGCACCTGCTTCTCTTGCTGTGTCCACAACACCACTCATTAGTTTTGGGAAGCCTGGCGCCAATAATTTGACAGCCAAGTCTCTCACTTTGGAAGTGACTTTCGTACTTGGTTTGCGGGTTGCACGCGGTGAGGACGGATTGTCACCAATAGTACCTGTATCGGTTTCGGACCGGTGGGTAGTCTCGCTTGGAATTGATCCCGACATGGTAAATGAACGTGGACTGATGAATGAGTACTTTAGAGAAGTAATGGAGAAGAATCTGCGCCATCCCACCGCCTTATGTACCCCACCTCCCCGGCCGGCCTTGGGGCAACCTAGAGGTTGATGAATGGAGGTCGAATCAAAGGGTCAATGTCATTTCAAGCTCAATCCCTCCTCCACTTTACTCAAAAAAGTCAGTAGAGTGGCTGTGCAGTCCGCACCTTTATGTAGCCTGGTGGAGATTGTGTGAAATGTATAGAGATACGTGATAGGGAAGCGAACGACGAGAGGGATCGGGGGATGAAAAAGGAGGATGGAGCTTGGATCGGCATTTGAACCCGTTACAAAGGTGGTAGTAACACAAAGGTGGTAGTGTAACGATCAACGATCAACGATGAGCGACTAGCTTCTTACGGTTAGGTTGATATTCTGAAACAATCAAAAAACTCGTACGCAACGATCTCCCCTGTCGACTGATGATTTCTCCTCCTCCTGATGGTGGTCAGGACCCTTGTACCTTTAAAATCACCACGAGTGACAGAAGGGAATGTTCGGGCGCACGGGCTGGTCATCGTGAACCGTTCCTCAGAGAAGAGATGATTGACTAGGGCATGAAGAGGGACCAAACTCTATCAGTCAAGTATGATGTACCTTACAAGTTAGGGGAAGATTCAAAGTCTGTCTGAAGACTTGAAGATAGACGAGAATCTTACGACTGCCAGTACACTGAACCATCCCTCAAGTCACATTCATTTCATGTCCGACCTCAGGCTTTGCGCTCAGGAGGGCAGGGATAGAGAACCGACATCAAAGTATCAATTGGCATGTATGTGAAGGGAAAATTTCGAGACTCTCCTTCCGCTTCTTTCCCCTGCCTTAATATATTTTGAGGGTATGGCATGAATACAACATCATATCTTTCCCTGTGGGATGGAATTACAAATGGTATTGAGAAAGAATGTCATTGTTTTGGTTTATACATCACCCTTCCTCAGTGAGTTCCCCTCCGGGTTTGATCAGGTTCATTGTTTCCCCAAACCGTCGGAACCTCTCCACCAGGTCAATGCCAGGGAGGGAATCGGGGAGAGTTCCTTGCGTCTGACCTGAACCATCTACTGGCGGGAAAAGAGCCGAGGGGCCAGATAGAGGGACACTAGAGGCTAGCCCATCCCCCTCGAGCGACTCTAGAGCGTTGTCTTGAGATACATTGTTATGGGTGGCTGAACCTGGGGTGGTCGTGAGGGTAGCAGGTGAGACAGAGGGGAACGGGAATATGAATATGGCATCGAGCACGAGGGAGCATGTGTCAGGGGTTCCTTCGGTTTAGGTCTGGTGTGAGGGACAAGATCCGCAACTGGTCAAGCACGGTAGCAATCTAGAGTCACAGACAGGTGAAGATACATTGTCCAAAGAGTAAAGTAGTTATCCTACCCAGCCGTCCGCTCGCGTCCGGACGTCGTCCGCCACAAAGTCACGTGACACCCCCCTTTTTGCCCATAGTGTCCGAGGTCCCGTCCTTGTAACCGCGGTTACAGGAATTACACCATACAAACAGCCGCGGTTACAGACCTCCGCGGGTTCCTGAGTGTGAAAAAAGGGTTACAATGAACAATGCAACGTTATTTTCACTATCTGCAACTGTCTTTCATTCATTTCAGCTCTCTACCACCTGCTTTTGCTTTATTCAACTACACAATGTCTCGTCAAAACCGTCTTAACGCTACTATACATGATGAGATTGCAGATTGTTGGAATACGTCAGATAATTGGCGTGAAGACTTTGGGGAACTTGAGAAAATGAGTAATGCTTCCTCAACACAAGCTCATTACCAAGTACGCATACGAAGATGGCAAGAATGGTGTCAAAGAATGAAGTTTAGCACCGGGTACGTGACTTTGTATGAGTTGGCCGACGTCGGCCGACGTCGGCGGCGGATTGCTTGATGGGGCAAAGTAGGAACGATCAAAAGATGCTAATTGTTCCAGAGATACGGTTACGCCAGAGTACGCCCTTAGATGGATATATACGCAAGTGTTATTTTATCCCAATAATCGTACAGATACAAGCAAAAGGCAACGTCAAAGTACACCTGAGCAAGCAGAGACATCAATTGCTGGAGCAAGAGAAGCAAGTTCTGATTTGCTGCCCGCATACTCAATTGAAGATGTTGAAACTAGTCTTGATACGTTAGAGGAAAGTCAACTACGAGCTTTGGATGTAGTTGAAGACCTAACTCGAGGAGGAAAAGTGCCTACAACGACAGCTAGGGAAAGTGGTGTGTTCACTCGCTGCCTTTAACATAAAGCGTTTGCTAAATGCCAGTTTTGTTGAAGCTTAGCCGAATGACGCAAAGTTTAGCGTCAATCAAACTCCATGTAGCTGCCCTGGTCAGTCTATGGAAACAGCAAAAATACAAAGGCATGAACAGCCATCCCCATCCGCGCTCGGCAGCAATGAAAAGCCTTTTGCTAGTCTTACGCCGAGTAGATGAACAAACCAAAAGAGAAATGTTCATCGATAAAACAAGTAGTAAGTAGGCACAGCTAAGGGCCTAATTAATCATTAGATACGATTTTTGACGGATATCAAAGTAGAAAACAAATTGAGGATTGCTTCAGTGCTTACGTCTCTCGAAATACTGAGCAAGGCCTTCGTGATGCTGTTGCTCACGCCCTAGGCCTGTATGTGCTCTACCGGGGCGATAATCAACGAGGCATGGAACTTTCAGACTTGGCTTACACTGTGTGGGATAACAAGGGACCAACACCCATGTTAGTTGTTGTGTGCGTCAGTAGACGTGGAAAGGTTAACAAGCATGGAAAAGTAGAGTATTCGGGGTTGATACGCAACAAAGACGTTTTTATGTGTCCTGTGGGTATCTTAGCAGTTTACTTGTTTGCTCGGTGAGTGAATGTCAGCCGACGTCGGCCGACGTCGGTTTAGCTAAACTAATATGCGTGTTAACTCAGTTAGATTTCAGGCCGGCAGCCTTGGAGACAATGGATTTCCCAACCTTGCTTCTCGTGAGACGTGGTACAACGATAAACTCCTCCAACATTCGATATATTCCCGTACAGATCAACTCACGTATAAAGCACAATATGATTCAATTACTCAGGCTCTTAAAAGCGCTCAAGTTAATACGGGAAAGAAGACACATATCAATAGAGCCGGAGGAGCTCAGCTGGCCGAAAGTGAAGGTGTATCAGCTCAAGATATTGCGCGTGCAGGCCATTGGAATCAAGATGTTTTGGAAAATGTCTATCTGGGTCATATGCCTCGTTCAGTATTACGTGCATTGGCCGGGTTTAAGCCTTATGGAAGCCAAGACTACTACCTTCCGCGTGATATTCCTGTACCGGACACTCTACAAAGAATGGTATTTCCCTCGCTTGAAAAATGGTAAGCAAATCTCGTCTGTAAAAGCATTGCTCATGCAAAGGGAAATGGATCTTTCCTTACGGCAAGGTGACGCTATAGACAGACAGGCTATGACGTTTGTTCAGCTCTTGAAACACCTTCGTAAGGTATTCTTTCAAGACATCTGCGCCTGGCGTCAAAAATACCCCGAGCTGTACCTTTGGTCGCATTCCCTGTTTCAAAATGATGAATTCAAGCAATGGGAAGCTTGTTATTTTGACACATGCTCTCTTCGTACGAATAGTCACGATCGTAGGCTAGCTGAAGCCATGCCACAACTTGCATCAACCCTCTCGGCGCATTTCATGAAGCAAACACAAGATAGTAGCGAAATTCATCATAAATTGTCGTCTTTGATCACAACCGCTCAAAATCAAGACGTATCATTGAACCTTAACCAGCAGCAGCTATCTCGGATCCTTGTCGCTTTAAGCCAGCCGATTACCCTACCTAGTATCCTTCAAGGAATTGAAATCACGGCAGGTGAGACACCCGTGCAATCAGAAACAACATCTCGCGCCCTGCAAGCAACGGTGATGCTTGAAAACATTCCTACATCAAGTACAGCAGCAGAAGGTACAGCTTTACCTCCATCAACCATAGTAAATCAACCTAGAGCTGTCTTGACGCCTTTCAGCCTGCTACGAACTTTACGGACCGTAAATCAGGTTTGGGAAGAATATACCACCGGCTTAAACGGCAAACCGTCTGCTAAAATGATGTACGAAAATCCTCAGCATCATTGGGGCGTTGGTGGTGACACAGAGCGGAGGTTTTGGAACCGACGTCTAGTCATTATCAATCAGATCAAGTTAATGGCTCAGACACGATCAATTACGGAAGACGAGGCTGCTAGGGATCTTGATGCGTTTCGTGTTCGACAGCGTCCTTCGTCGCTTAATGCTTTACATGACACACTGAAAGGTATGTCTGAGAGAGAAAAATTACGCCTCTAAAGCTATAACAATGCAAGAAAACCGACGTCGGCCGACGTCGGCCAATGATGGTTCGTTGCAATCATAGTTACCCTCAAAGGATGATGTCAAACTGTTTCATTGCAATCCCGAGCAACAAATGTTGCAGGGCGTCGTTGGTTGAACAATTTTCTACGCAGAAAGTGTAAACAAGTGTACACACAACGAGGATGTATTAAGTGTAATGTCGTAGCTCTTAGCCCACCATTCTTCAACTTTTCTCGTCAATTCAAACTCAGCTATAGCATCAAAATGTCAGATACACCACCTACACCTAAAGTACCTCCTCCAACGCCCAAGCGGTACGCAAACAAGGGAAGTCGTCGCAACGACACCTCTCCAGAAAAGGGAGGATCAGCAGTCGATGAATGTTTTTCAACAACAGTATTGAGTACGTTAGAACCTTTTGTCGAGTCATTGACAGTATCTAATTAGCAGGTGCGTATGAACCGTTCGAATGGGTGCCGGGAACGAAATTCAATCGTCGTGTTTTTCCTCAGGATAGCTCAAAGACATTGGCTTTACTGCCAAACACCTTGAAAGGCGAAGTGTGGGCTATACCACCGAATAAAGAGTTAGAAATAGTGAGCTTGAACTTCTGATGTTAA